AATACCACACACACCACACACACATATACATACACACCCCACAATACCACAAGCACCCACCACATACACACATACCACACATACACACCACACACACACACCTCACAATACCACACACACACACACCCCACACACATAACACACACCCTACAATACCACACACACACACCCCACACACACACTCACACCACACACACTCACACACCACACACACACACATACACCCCACATAGAACACACCCCCCACAATACCACACACTCCATACACACACACACACACACACATACACCCCACATAGATGGGAGGACAATGTGCTCTTCTTGGAAGGCTAGTACCCTTTCAAGTGTACAGAAAGAAGTACCTTTGCTTTGCAGGGTAGGAAGTCATTTCTAGCACTTTAATAGACATCTTTCTGTCCTTATTGCTACCTGTATGTCTCCGCTGAATTACTACCATGGCCTTGTCACTGCTTTGTTGGGTTTCTAAAAACACTTGTTTATTTGTATGGCTGTGCCAGGTCTTGGCTGTGGCACAGAGGATCTTTAGTTGAGACACGCAAACTCTCAGCTGTTGTATGTGGGACCTAGTTCTCTGACCAGTGATCGAGCTCAGGCCCCCTGCACTGGGAGCTCGGAGACTTAGCCACCAGGTCACAGGGAAGTCCCTTGTCACTGGTTTTGATGTCTTTGGTGTATCCTTTTATCTCCACATGTAAGTGGAGGGATTTTCCCAAAATGCAAGTTTCGTTAAAACCCTTCCATAGTTCACCTTTGAAGATTTTAGGAGATGCTTTACCTGTGCTCACTGCCTACTCTTGTTCTCATCTTTCCTTGACATCAGCTCTCCACCCAGTACGCACATCGCCCCTGCCACACCCCACAGTACCACACACAACCCCGCAAACACACACCCCACAATACCACACACACACATATACATACACACCCCACAATACCACATGCATCCACCACACACATATACATACACACCCCACAATACCACACACACACCACACACATATATATACATACCCCACAATACCACACACAACCCCCCCAAACACACCCCACACAGAACACACACCCTACAATACCACACACACACACCACACACACATATACATACACACCCCACAATACCACACACAACCCCCCCAAACATACACTCCACACAGAACACACACCACACACACACCACACACACATATACATACACACCCCACAATACCACACAAAACCCCCCAAATACACCCCCCACACAGAACACACACCCTACAATACCACACACACACACATACACCCCACATAGAACACACCCCCCACAATACCACACACTCCATACACACACACACACCATACACACACACACCACCCCATAATACCACACACACCCACCACACACACACCCCCACCACAGCCACCGCACACACACAGACACACACACAACCACCTCACACTATTTCTGTGTTTCAACCCCCACTGGACATCCTGCATCCTTCTCTAAGATACATGGCCTCTTGAATTTCCTGATGTGGGGTGTCAAGAGGTAGAACCCCATCTCACTCCCCCGGGTTTCTTTTGTAAACATCTTGGAAGAAAACTGCCTGAAATGTTTGCTACAAATGAAGTGTGTGATCTTCTCATTAGTTTCTTTCTTTCTTTTAATCATCCTAAAAGGAGTCTCATAAGTCATGCTTCGGATTTACTGGGGATGCATAATAATGAAGCCAGGCTCCTGATTTAGCAGCACTCCTGGGACTCCCCATCTCTCACTGCAGGGCACAGATCTGTGCCTGAGAGCAGATCAAGGTAGAGGCTGGGAAACCAGGGCTGTCCTGCCAATGCCTTCAGGTGGGAAGAACAGAGCGAAGCGATGACCCAGGGAGATGTTTCAAGTGCTAACAGAGAAAGGAGTTCACAATGTCAGGACACTGGGCTTAGATGGACATTTTGTTTGATGATTATCAAGTATGTAACCAGAAAGTAAAAACTCTGCCTTAAACAAAAAGAGGGGAACCTTTTATCAGTATGCGACAAGGGCTACTACATCATAGAGTAAACTATTTGGAAGTCTCAAAAATTTTAATATTTTTAAATTTGAAATTTTTTTATTCTTTTATTTATTTATATGACCATGCTGTATGGCTTGTGGGGTCTTAGTTCCCCAACCAGGGACTGAAGCCAGGCCACAGCAGTGAAAGTACTGAGTCCTAACCACTGCACCAATAGAGAATTCCTATCATTTTTTAAAAAGATATTAATAATATAAAATCTTAGGAGACTAGGCACCCTTCTAGGTGCTGAGGACTAGAGAAATAAGCAGAAAAGACAATGTGCTATCATAGGACAAGATTGGAAGAAAACAGACAAATAAGTCTACTGTGCTGGCTCAGTTAATGATAAGAGCTCAGGTGGAAAAGAAAGCGCAAGTAAAACGATGGTGCTGACGGGGCAAGGGGGCACTATTCATAATGTATAATCAGGAAAAGCCTTTTTGAAGAATGAAATTTGTTCAGAGACTAGATTGAAATGATAGTGGAGGCCCTACAAATATTAATATCTAGGGAAATAACAAGCCAGGAAATGGAGCAACAAGGGCCGAGACCTTGATATGTTCAAGGAAGGACAAGGAGGCCAGTGGCGCCACACGCCATGAGCAGGAACGGTGAGAAACGAGAGCAGACAAGTGGCCAGAACTGAGATCCAGTAGGCCTGGGGGCCGTGATGAGGACTCTGCATGCTGCTGGGTCAAGGGAAGCCTTGGAGGATTGAGGACAAAGAGGAACGTGCTTGGCTGATGTTTTCAAAGGGTTGCTCTGGCTTTCGTGGTGGGAGAGGAGAGGAGAGGAGCCACAGAGACACTAGGAAGGAGGATGTTACTGGTCTGTGTGACATGTGAGCGCAGCACAGACTGAGATGCCAGTGCTGCAGAATACGAGATGTGGTTGGATTAAGAGTATATTTGAAGCAGGTTGGAAGGAGTCTCTGTTGAATGGGATGAGGGTCCGAGAGAAAGACACGAGTGAAAAATAATCCAAAATATGTGCCCTGAGCAAATGGGTAAATGACGTTACCCTTTACTGGGGGGCAGGGCACCACAGGAGAGGGGTGAAAATGAAGCACGTGCTTTGGACATTTTAACTCTCAGCAGCTTATTAGGTATGAAAGGAGACGTGTTGTTTGGCATGTGTGCATGCTAAGTAATTCAGTCGTGTCCAACTCTTTGCGACCCTATGGACCATAGCCCACCAGACGTCTCTGTCCATGGGATTCTCCAGGCAAGAATACTGGAGTGGGTAGCCATGGGATCTTCCCGATCTAGGGATTGAACCCACATCTCTTATGTTTCCTACATTGGCAGGCAGGTTCTCTTCCACTAGTACCACCTGGTAAACCCATTGTTTGGGCAGCTGTATATTCAAATCAAAGGCTTCCCTGATATCTCAGTTGGTAAAGAATCCCCCTGCAATGCAGGAGACCCCGGTTTGATTCCTGGGTCAGGAAGATCTGCTGGAGAAGGGATAGGCTACCCATTCCGGTATTCTTGGGCTTCCCTTGTGGCTCAGCTGGTAAAGAATCTGCCTGTAATGCGAGAGACCTGGGTTGAATCCCTGGGTTGGGAAGATCCCCTGGAGAAGGCAAAGGCTACCCACTCCAGTATTCTGGTCTGGAAAATTCCAAGGACTATACAGTCCATGGGGTCACAAAGAGTCAGACATGACTGAGAAACTTTCACTCAATCACTCATACTCAGATCTAGAATTTGGGGTAAAGATAGGGACTGGAGAGTTTGCCAAGTAAATTCAGGATGTGATCATAATTAAAATTATGGGTTTTCATTTAGTTTATTGATGTATAGTTGCTGTACAATATTATGTAAGTTACAGGTGTACAATATAGTGATTCACAGTGTTTAAAGGTTATACTCTATTTATAGTTATTATAAAACTATATTGGCTCTACTCCCCATGTGGTACATTATCTAAAGACAACCACCATTAACATTTTGGCTAGTGTAAACTTTGAATACTTTTGTGACATCCTGGCTACATATTTCCAAACTTTTATGAGGGAATAAAAGAACTTCTGGAGGTGGCACTAGAAATCTGCATGTTCAAAATTATTTATTAATTTTATTTTGGGGCTGTGCTGGGTCCTTGTTGCTGCGTACAGGCTTTCTGTAGTTGCAAAGAGCAGAGGTTACTCTCTAGTTGTGGTGTACAGGCTTTTCATTGCGGTAGCTTATCTCATTGCAAAGAACGGGCTCTAGAGCCTGGGCTCCGTAGTTGTGGTGTGTGGGCTTAACTGCTTCACAGCATGTGGGATCTTCCCAGACCTAGGCTCTAACCCATCTCCCCTTCCTTGGCAGGCAATCTGCAATTTTTACAAGCTTCTCCAGGCAATTCCAGTGCATGTCAAGGTTTAAGGTCAAGCAACCTGAAAGATGAGCATGGCTACTCTCATGAAAATGCTCCTTTACGTAAAAAGGAAAGAAGAACTAACACAGATTGGTCACCAATTTAGAACATGCCCCCCATCCTACAGGTTGGAGAAAATAGTGAGGCAGAGATGGTGAGATGCTCACCACGAACCCACTTCTTCTTTCTGTCAATAAGTTAAATGACATTTTCTAGCCTTCCTGACAGTGGTGAGAGGACAAGCTATTGAGTTCTGGCCAGTGACGTGTGGGCAGAAAGAATATGGCCACATATAAGCTTGGCTAAAAATCCTCTGTGGCATCCTCCACTTTTACCCTCTTTACTCTTCAGCCATCAGAACACAGAACATCCAGATGGGTTCTTGGAGTTACGAGTTGTTGTTCAGTCACTAAGTCATATCCTACTCTTTACAACCCCATGGACTTTGGCACGCCAGGCTTCCCTGTCCTTCACCATCTCCCAGAGTTTGCTCAAACTCATGTCCACTGAGTCAGTGATGCCATCCAACCATTTCATTCTCTGTCTCCCCCTTCTCCTCTTGCCCTCAATCTTTCCCAGCAGGACTTAAGAGATGATGATATAATCAGATGGGAGAGGATTTTGAGTAACTGGGAAGAGAGAAAGCCCTGTTCGCAGAGAGCTCTAACTCAGGAAAAGCCAGGAGAAGATGCTTCTAAAATGGGGAAACCACTGGAGATGTCTTTGGCCACACCGCTCTCTATTCTGCCAGTAAAGACATCTGTCTCCACTTCTGCCCTCTCCAGAAATGTCTTGGCTCAAGAGATCTTCATAGTAAATCAAACCAGGAAAAATATTGTCAGACAGACATAACAGAGAAGGAAAGGACAACCACAGAGGTGTTTTGAATTTGCCACAAATTCAAAGCCATAAATGAGGTAAAAATGAAGAGATAATATAATACCTCAAGGGCTTCCCAGGTGGTTCAGTGGTAAAGAATCTGCCTGCCAAGCAGGAGACATGGGTTTGATCCCTGGGTCGGGAAGATCCCTTGGAATAGGAAATGGCAATCCACTTCAGTATTCTTCTTTGGCGAATCCCATGGACAGAGGAACCTGGCAGGTTACATATAGTCCATGGGGTCACAGACAGTCAGACACTAGTTACTGACTAAACAGCACAACATAGCACCTCAAACAAAATGAAGTTTGGAGGAAATGCTCTTGGGAGAATTGTAGGACTGCCTCCAGCAGAAAGAGAGCTGATGTTCACCTACTTGGCACCAGTCTGGCTGGTTAATTACACCTCATTTCTAGACTGACTGATGTTGCATATCTCTGATGGGTCAGTGCCAATGACACAATGACAGCTGATAAATATTTTGCACATCCCTCCTGGATGAAAGGGGGAGGGCATGTGGAAAAAAGGCAAGATCTCTTTAAGGGTTTTAGAGCTAGGAGCATTCAGAAGGCAATGGAATAGCTGGAGGAGCCCCACATGGGTCCTCGGACAGCCTCAGAGGTTTTGGGAAGGCTTGACTACAGAAAGCTATCCTTCTCAGTAATGGGGATCCCAGCCTTCTCAACCCATGTGCTAGCCCCCTCCAAACTCCATGATGTAAGAATCTAATATGTAGTTCCATGCTATCAAATGCATGCAGGGCAATCCATTAAGAGGGCCAAGTGTGAAGGACCTCTTGACTTTCAAAGTAGTGCAACCATTTAAGTCACCAGAGGAAGTCAAATGGCTTAATTCTGATTATTCTTTGGAATGCCTAGAAAGTATTCTAGAGAGGCATGCTAAAGAACAGGGAATGAGGACTCTTTGGGAAAAGCCCCAGTAGTCAAGCTGCCTGCCAAGAATTGGCAGCGATAACTGAAAGACCGAAGTCATTAGTCTCTTTCTCTTTATTTCCAGATCATTTGCCAGTTTTCCCAACACCATTTGTTGAATAATCTACCCCTTACTTACTGATCCGAAATGCCAACTTTATCATGAAACACATTCTCATATGGTCTTGGATCTATTACTGGGGATTTGTATTTTGTTTCTTGTTATTCTCTGTGAAGTACAGAGTTTGAAACATATTTTTTAAATCAAGTGAATTAATTACATTATTCAGATCTTCAACCTCCCTATTTTTGCCTATTGCTCTGTCAGAGATTTAAAAAAATATATAACAGCTTCCTTACCACCATTCTAATTTTGTCAATCTCCCCATGAATAGCAAATATTTTGCTTTTATATATTTTGATGCAACATTATTGCCCGGATAAAAGTTTGCTATCTGCAATACAGTCACTGTGAGTTACAACTTTTGTCAAAGCAAAATGAGGCTTCCAGTTTTAAAATCATAGAGAAAAGATGGTTTGGTTTCCATTTCTTTTCAAAAGCATTCCAAACAACAAAGAGAAACTGAAACCAAAATTTCATCTTTCATGAAATCAGAAGACTTCTATAGCCCCAAACAACATAGCTTTATGTGAAAAGGGAGCATGAATGGATGATGCTAAATGGTGTAGCAATGAGAGAAAAGTTGACATGACTTATAGCAGAGGGGAGACTGAGGAGAAGCAGGTGACATTCCCTGGCTGAGAGCCGGAAAGCCTTAGGAATTAGAGAAAGCAAATAGCAAAGAAACCAGGGGAGACGTAGGGCTGACAACCAGAGGATTATGGGAAAGTATTTCTAAGGAGCAATTAGATCCAGTGTCCCCTACCCTGCCCACCACTATCCTGTATACTCAGCAGTTATCCCCAATATAATGCAAGAGACAAATAACTTTTCAAAAATTGAATCTGAGAGTCTTATAACTCCTATACATTGACCACAGAGTAGGGCCAGGTGAGATGGAGTTCGAACACAGGGGAATAAAGTCAAAGCCTATTCACAGAATGATGGGAACATTTCCTATCAGCTGCAGAATTCTGGGAGGTAAGGGGAGAAACCACATCCTTCTACACACAGCCCAAGAAAGAACATACCCACACTGACCTTTGCTTTCTGAAGAAAAGCTCCGTGCTACTTGTTTACAATGACGTCAGTAGCTTCCTTGGCTGTAGATTTCAGTTAGTATTTTAGTGCTTTAGTCTCAGATATGAACAGCAGAGAACCACCAGACCTCCAAAGAAAACTCCCGATACAAAAGAAAGGAATCAAAACAAACAAAATCAGCATGATGGAAAATAATGCAGAGAGAAGGTGACATTCCCTGGCTGAGAGCCGGAAAGCCTTAGGAATTAGAGAAAGCAAATAGCAAAGAAACCAGGGGAGACGTAGGGCTGACAACCAGAGGATTATGGGAAAGTATTTCTAAGGAGCAATTAGATCCATTGTCCCCTACCCTGTCCACCACTATCCTGTATACTCAGCAGTTATCCCCAATATAATGCAAGAGACAAATAACATTTCAAAAATTGAATCTGAGAGCCTTATAACTCCTATACATTGACCACAGAGTAGGGCCAGGTGAGATGGAGTTTGAACACAGGGGAATAAAGTCAAAGCCTATTCATAGAATGATGGGAACATTTCCTATCAGCTGCAGAATTCTGGGAGGTAAGGGGAGAAACCACATCCTTCTACACACAGCCCAAGAAAGAACATACCCACACTGACCTTTGCTTTCTGAAGAAAAGCTCCGTGCTACTTGTTTACAATGACGTCAGTAGCTTCCTTGGCTGTAGATTTCAGTTAGTATTTTAGTGCTTTAGTCTCAGATATGAACAGCAGAGAACCACCAGACCTCCAAAGAAAACTCCCGATACAAAAGAAAGGAATCAAAACAAACAAAATCAGCATGATGGAAAATAATGCAGAGAGTTTTGAAGATTAATTTCTTTAAGCTTTAAAGAAATTGTAATTAGTATCTTCAGAAATAGTAAAATATTGTGCAACTGTGAAACAAGTATTTTTATAAAAGGGACAAGGGGCAGCAGTCAGAGAACCAGAAACAGACTTTGGAAATTAAAAATGTCAAAACCATGATGGAAAATTCAGTAGAGTTTGGAAAACACAGTTGAAAAGTATTCAAGAAATTAAAATAAAATTATAAAGAAATAGACCAAAGAATCCAAATTGTCACAGTTTCTGAAAACAAAAATCAGGAAAGCGTAGGGGGAGACATTATTAAAGGAACAATAAAATTAACCTTCCCAGAATGGATAAATGGTTCCAGATCACTTCCTACCAGATGCTCAGCACAATGGGTGATAAAATACAACAATACACACAATAGTGAAATTTCAGAATACTGGAATAAAAAGAAGAGCTTAAAGCATGAAAGGTTGGTGGGAACCAGGGATCGAGCAAAAATCAGTAATCAGAATGGCATTGGATGGACTTCAAGAAAGCAGGAGATAGAAAGCAACGAGGCAAAGATTTCAATAAAAATTGGAGAGCAATCAATTCCAACCTAGAATTTTCAGGTGGTGCTAGTGTTAAAGAATCCACCTGCCAGTGCAGGAGACATAAGAGACTTGGGTTCAATCCTTTGGTCAGGAAGATCCCCTGGAGGAGGAAATGGCAACCCATTCCAGTATTCTTGCCTGGACGATTGCATGGACAGAGGAGCCTGGCAGGCTACAGTCCACAGGTTTGCAAAGAATTGGGCATGACTAAAAGTGACTTAGCATGCACACAAGGTCTGCAATTAAGTGTTAGGGTAGGAATGCAGAAGTCTAAAGAAAAAAGCTAACGTTTGTCTTTTTCTCTTTTTTCCCTTCCAGAAAGCAACTAAGGGATATACTCTAACAAAATTAGATAGAAATTCAAGAAAATGAAAGATGAAGATTCAGAAAAGTGGGAAAAGGGGGTGGAGGGGCTTCCTGGAATGGTGACAAAGGTATGTCCCAGCTGACAGCATGTCTTCAAACCTGGAGATGGAGCAGATGAATGCAGACTTGAGTAGTGATGTCTCCTGAAAAAGGTTTGAAATGATAGTTTATCTGATGGATTTAAACACATGGAAATAATGTTAAGAGATATCTGTAAGATATCTCTTACAGAGCTCTTGATACTTATGGGGAAGGTTAGCCACAGTTCAAAGTGGAAAAGAAAAAAACTTAAGCAAATGAAAAATAATGAGGCAAGCTTTGACTCCAGGAAAAACAAAAAGATGTACAAGAAAGAAAATATAACATTCCCTGATTAAGAAGTTAGCACTATTTACGTCAAGATAATAATAAAAACACCTGTGACACACACTATTGATTCTCTTGCTAGTGCCTACATTCCTTTCTTCCTCATATCCAAACCTCAATTTTGTTCAAGCAACAATGTGCTTATCTAGAAGTACTTGTAATTCTAGATTGCCTCACAGTTGAAGGTTTGCGACATGCCTGCTGATGAGAAAGGTTCCTAGGAAACTTTTTCTTCTTTCTCCCCTAGCTTCCTTCTTCCTTCCTTCTTCTCCTTCCCTGAAACATGGGTGCAACATCAGAGGGGCAGCAGCTGTCTTGTGACCATGAGGACCAAAGTGCAAGCCTAAAATGGGAGAGTAGAGAAATAAAAAGAGCCTAGGCCCCTAAAGAAATCATAAAACGGTCACATCAGCTTTTGACTGCCTGAATGTTAGTGTTAGGTGTGCTTTCTATTTCTTTCAGCCAGGTGCTTTCCTAGCTAATATAATACTGGATATGGACAAATCTACAAACTGTGATATAACTACATCAGAAGAATGAGAGCAGGGTAAGATGGGTATGAAAGAAACCCTTTGCTAGCATTTTAAGGAGCTAATATTATCGATCAGCTGAAGTCTGTTTATGTCCGTTAATTTTAGCATATTTCTTACATATAAGAAACAGCCAAAAAAGCTGAAAAATGTTGCGTTTAGAATATTGGATGGGGTGGGGGATAAGGAACTGACATATTTGTAATCTCCTTTTAGAATTAAAAAAAAAATTGAACTGTGCCCATGTTCAACTTTTTGATTAAAACATTAAAATTAATTGAAAGGTAAAACAAAAAGCTTTATCTGTCTTCTACTGTAGATTTTTACTTTGTCTTCTATGAATATGCTTGCTTCCATTTTCCATATTTTTCCCTTTTTAATATTCCAGGCATGTCTTTTCCCCATGCTTTTATCTTAGTCTATTTGGATCATTTTATTTTAGGTGTGTAAATTGTAGACAGTACATACTCAGCTTTGGGGTTTTGACCCCATTGGTCTTGTCTTTTAATAGAAAAGCTTGATCCATTTGCTTTTATTGATACACCTCCTACGTTTGATCTTTGTTCTGTCATCTTTTTCTATGCTTTCCACCTTTTCATGTTTTCTTTGCTTTCTGGCTTGATAAATGGATTTAGCGTTTTGAGAGATGTATTTCGTTTTAAGCTCTACTGATTTTTATCTTTAAGGTTTTTCAAAAATACATTTCAAAGGCATTTATTAAACCATGTTTCCTTAACAGTCTGAACCAGGACTGAAACCTTAATTCCTTCAGTTACTTTGTTTGAAACAGTACATAGAACTTTCCTGCCTCCTATTCTGCTTTTCTCTTCTTTTTCTTTTCTTCTCCCTTATGATCTACTTTCATTTTCTTTTCACAACATGTTTGAGATTTTTACATTCTGTTGACTCATTCATATTTTTATTCATGTAGCAAATCATGCTCCATATATTGTACTAGATAATAAACTTAGCGATAGAATACAATTCTTGCCCCCCAGGCACTTGAAGGTGACTAGGGAAGCGATGGTAGTCCAGGAAAGCAGAAGAGCAGAGGTGTGCCCAGGTCATAGGGGAGAAACTAGGAGAGGCTTGCAACCTGGACCAGCTTCTCAGGGAAGACTTCCTGGTGGAGGGAGCACGTGAACTGAATCTTTCTAGCAGAAGGAACAGCATATGGAAAGACAGGGAAGTAAGAAGATGCCTTGAATATAAACAGCTCAGGGTTGCACAAAAATGGTGGCTGGTGAGAAAGGAAAGGGCCAGGGGTAGAGCGAAAGGTCCGCTCACAAGGTCATAAATGGCCTTGAATGTCCCTCTCAAGAAGGATACTACTGAAGAATCCTAAGCAGGATGTAATAGGACAGGATGAAGGTAGGAACAGGGATGGAAGGTGGCAGGCCCTTTTTGAAGACATTTATAATGAAGGTGATTAAAATAAAGAGCAAGTGATGGAACAGGAGATAAGAATGTATTCAAGAGACCTCAAGTCTGTGACATCGGAGGGACAACAAGGAGGTCACCTCTCCACGTGCTACTCCAAACTCTCTGGTCCAATTTTTCTCCAGCTCCAGGCAAATCTCCATTGGAGATGGTGTAAGACTTTCCAGTTTCCACCATGAAGAATATCAGCTTTGAGGTCGCATTGGTCACGGTCCAATGGTATGAACGCGTTGTCTTCTGAGGAGTAGGAGATTCAGGCAGAAAATGGGAGAAGAGAGGTCACTTCAAGACCAATTTAATGAGACCAATGAGGTTACAGAGAAACTAGGTAAGCCTCTTTTCCCTGCCTCAAGCCCCAGATTTGTCATTGACTGTGTGATCTTGAGAAAATCACTCTATCTCTCTGAACCTTCATGTACTTATCTGCAAAAGGCAGAGTCCTCTAAAGTTCTTTGTGTCTGAGGGGAAAAGACTGCATCTAAGTCTTTAAGACTGGATCTAGAAAAATATCCTCCTTTGAAGGCAAAAATCTCTTTCTTTTCCATCATCCTTAAAACCTCTCCTTCTAAAATTCTAAAACCAGCTTCCTTAATATTCTTTATCAGCTCCTGATAAATAAAATTCCAAATTCAGGACTTCTTTGGGTTTCTCATCCATCCCTCGTGAAGTCTCTCATCTTTTAAACAGAGATGATTTAATAAGATATGGCAGTGTTAGGAGTTACAGCAAAAACATGGTTTCTTAGTTCAGTTCTGAATTTTGCAGGTAAGAGTGATGCAGTTATGTAAGTGATGTGGTTAGCATAGACGAGAGAGGACATCGTTAATTTGATATTCCTCATATACACACATTGCGACTTCTATTAATGTCCTACGGTCATTAGAGTACTTTGTTCTATATTTTTCGTTCTTTTTACTCTTCGAGTCTCAGGTTTTGAAGTTTCTATTGATGTCTTCAAGCTCACTGATTCTTTCCTCAGCCGAGTCCAGTTTATTGATGAGTCCATCAAAGGCACTCTTCATTTCTGTCATGGTGTTTTGATCTCTAGCCCTTGATTTTGATTCTTTCTAAGAGTTTCCATCTCACTGCTTCCATTACCAATCTGCCAATCTGTTCTTGCATGTTGTCTAGTTTCTCCATTAGAGCCCTTAGAATACTAATCATAGTAGCTTTAAATTCCCAGTCTGCTAATTCCAACATCTCTGCCACATTTGAGTTTGTCTCTGATGTTTTCCCTATCTCTTCAACCTGTGGGGATTTTTGTTGTAGTAGTAGTTATTGTTCTGTATTTTTTTTTTTTGTCTTTTAGTATGCCTTGTTACATTTTTTGCTGCAAGTCTGACGTGATAAACTAGATAAAAGGAACCCAGAACTGGTTCCTGCGTTTCCTCCTCCTGATCTTCAGCTCCATGTGAACTTTGTCTAATGTGTGATTCCTTGTCTACCTGTCTGTTTCTTTCATTGGTAGTGGTGGGGGTGGGGTGGGGAGCAGCTTGCCCTGTGATGTCAGTTTTCTGATGAATCTAAGAAGCGTTGTTGATTTTCAGTTTGTTCATCTTTTCTCCTGTTGTGTGGACGGGAGAGATGACTTCCAAGCTCCTCATATGTTGGCCTGGAAACCCAGAGAAGTCCTTAATTTGGAATTTTACTTATCAGGAGCTGATAAAGAATATTAAAGAAGCTGGTTTTAGAATTTTAGAAGGAGAGGTTTTAAGGATGATGGAAAAGAAAGAGGTTTTTGCCTTCAAACGAGGATATTTTGCTAGATCCAGTCTTAAAGACTTAGATGAAATCTTTTCCCCTCAGACACAAAGAACTTTAGAGGACTCTGCCTTTTGCAGATAAGTACATGAAGGTTCAGAGAGGTAGAGTGATTTTCTCAAGATCACACAGCCAATGACAAATCTGGGGCTGGAGTCCAGGTTTCCTGATAATAAGTTCAGTGTTCTCTCCAGGGCCTTGTGTCTCCCTGGTCTATGCTCGTGGGGGTCCTTTAACCTTCATTCATAGAGATGATCTTCACAACAACAAATAGCCTGGAGGAAGGGACATGTGAGACCTTACAGAAGGGTGTGTACTTGTGTTCAATCACTCCATCAGTCGTGTCCAATTCTTTGCAACCCCACAGACTGTAGCCCTCCAGGCTCAGTCCGTGGAATTTTCCAGGCAAAAATACAGGAGTGGGTTGCCATTTCCTACGCCATATAGGTGAGTAGGCGAAGAGAAAATACTAGGATGATTCAGATTCAGGAAGAAACATCCCAAGTGGAGGAAGAGGTGCTTTGAAAAGAAAAAAAAAAAAAAGACTCTTGGTTATAGGAATAGGAGAGTCAGTGTCCCTCTTGCTCCCCGGAGCTCAGCACCCTGCCCAAAAGTGACAATTGTCTGCACACTGGTGCCCTCTAGTGGCTTCAAGAAAGACATTCTTTCCCCAAACCTGACGATAGAGGAAGCTCGAACCCCTGGGAGGCAAAGAGAAGGGCCTTCCTCCATCCCTCACTTTGGTTCAGAGATTTGTCTAACCAGGTTTTTTTCCCCCCTCACTTTTACCCATTAACTTCTTTTTGTTAAACAATCCAAAGACATTTAGAAACACGTGTGAAGGAGAGCATTACCCCATCTGGAGAACCATATGTACCCAAGTGTGAGGATGCGGGGAAAGGAAGCCATAGAAACAGACACAAACTCAGCCAGGATGTGAGGCCACAAATACGCCTTCTTGGGGTGGATGAAGGCTTTGTGGGGGATCCTAAAAGTTATACAACTTGGGAATCTCTCTTTGAAAAAAAAAGAACAGAAAAGTACAAAATCAAGCACAGAGCTTTGGAGGACCCCCATTCATCCACCTCATGGCAAATAATTCTCGCACATATCCATCTGCCAGTGCACACATGGAAAGGAAATGACGATATAAAGCAGAGCTATTTTTAATTTTCACTATTGTCCCTAAAATCCTGTAGACACTAAGAATGGTCCGTCTCAGTCAAGTCACCTTGGAAGGCTGTAAAATTATTCTTACGATGTGACTATTGTTCCAAATGTGTCTGGGATTGTTCCTTTTAATCACTTTCAGACACTGTGGCATATTCCTTGGAATGTCATTAATGGTGACTTTTATCATTTAAGTGCAGATTCTTCGTGTATGTGGTATGTGTATGCAATAGCCAAACCCACAAAGGTAAGTGTTAAGAGCGTCTTTCCTGGTGGCTCAGCAGTAAAGAATCTGCCTGCCAATGCAGGAGACAAAGTTCAATCCCTGGGTAGGGAAGATTCCCTGGAGGAGCAAATGGCAACCCACTCCAGTATTCTTGCCTGGAGAAACCCCAGGGACAGACAAGCCTGGAGGGCTACAGTCCATGGGCTCACAAATGAGTTGGACACAACTTAGCGTCTAAACGACAAGAGCAAGTACCAGGAGCGGTACTCTAGCTGGCCGAAGCTGGTCTGGCTTAAGAGTAAAGGGTCTTTTTAAAAGCTATCAAACTCTTCTGCCCTTTCATTGTTTCTGTCATATCCTATGAGGACATTTCCCTGCAAAGGAAGGGCACAGTGATTTTAGCAATGAAACCATCATTGGACTAGGTGTCTGCATGAGGTGGCCATGAGACTACCTCTCAGGCTTCCAGTTATAAGAAGGACGATCAACCAGGGCTCAGCTGTGGAGTTGGGGAAGCCGCTTGTTCACAAAAAGTCCAGGTGCCCACACGTAGCTCCCAGACCAGACCCCTTCCTGGCAGGGACTCCTGAGATGTCTGACTTCAGCACAGACAACATCCCAGACTTTGCTGATCCTTTTGTAGACGACATGGCTTCCTAGGGCATTTCCATCAAACCATCTCTTTGTCTGTCCTTCGCTCAAGGTCAAACGTTCATGTCACAGTCTGATGACTCTTCCAGATTGTCTGGTCTGCTCCTTATTTTACCCCCTCATAGGCCCTTTTCCTAAAAATCTTTGCACAGTTAACCTTCCCATTTTGCTTTCTGCTCCTTGGAGGATCAGACCCAGCTCTCTGCAGTGATGACTTTGAAGAGCAACACTGTCTGAGTTTCCTCTAATGTCTAAGTAACTGTGATAAAGCATCTGGCCCCATTCTTTTAAAATATTTTAAATTGAAGTACAGTTGATTTACAATGTTGTGTTAGTTTCAGGTGTACAGCCAAGAGATTAAATTTGTTTTTTTTTGGGGGGGGGCATACTGCACAACTTAAAGGATCCTAGTTCCCTGACCAGGGATCAAACCTGGGACCCCAGCATTGGAAGCTCAGTGTTTTAACCACTGGACCCCCAGGGAATGCCCCCAAAGTGATTCATATATATGTGTATGTGTGTGTGTGTGTGTGTGTGTGTATATATATATATATATATATATAATTTTTCAGATTCTTTTTCTTTATAGGTTATTACACTATATTGAATATAGTTCCCCGTACTATGTGGTAGGTCCTTGTTTTATTTTGTATATACTAGTATGTATCTGATTAATGAATAAAACTCCTAATTTATCCCTCCTCCCTTTTCTCTTTGGTTAACCATAAGATTGTTTTCTATGTCCGCGAGTCTATTTCTGTTTCAAAGATAAGTTCATTCATGTCATATCCTAGATCCCACCTATAAGCAATATCATATATACTTATCTTTCCCTGTCTGACTTACTTCACTTAGCATGACAGTCTCTAGGTTCATTCCTGTTGCTGAAAATGGCAGTATTTCATTCTTTTTGGCTGAGTAGTATTCCATTGTGGATACATCTTCTTTAGCCATTAATCTACTGATGCACATTTGGTCGCTTCCATGTCTTGGATGTTGCAAACAGTGCTGCAATGAACACTGAGATGCAGGTATCTTTTCAAACTATGGTTTTCTCAGGATGTAAGCCCAGGAGTAGGATTGTTGGATCATGTTATTGTTGTTTAGTCGCTGAGTCATATCCGACTCTTTGTGACCCCATGGACTGCAGCATGCCAGCCTCTGTGGCACCAGTAGGAGATTGAAACCTGTAAGCCTCTGCCCCTTGCTGAGACTCCTCACCCCATCCCCACTCCTTAACTGCCATAAAACACTGGGCCAGGCTCCCTTCCTCCATCTCTCAGGTTATTTTGGACCTACTTGAGAGGCCTGCTCTGTTCTCCCCAGAGACCTCAATTCTCTAAGTAATACTTTTTCATACCTTTTTGGTGAATGTGTGGTATCATCAGTTTTGACATCTGAACCAAATTTTGGGAGGTGGTACACGGATCTCTGAAGGGTGGTCATGATGGTAACACAGTACTGTCAGTTGCCACATATTGGAATTGTCCCTTTAGGTCCACGACTGAAAACAAGTGTTGGAAAGTACCCCACTTTCTCACTCGCAAGGATCACCAGCTCTGCGGCCAGCCCCTTCCTGCAGGGCATGTAGAAGGATGCCATTCAATAAAGAGGGTACCACCTATCCCCTCCGCACACACAGCTGAAACATGGAAGGGAGGCAGGAGGGAGAGGAGGTGGCATTTTGAAGGAGTGTCGTGTTGTCATGCAAAAAGCAGCTCTTCCTCGCTCCCCCCAAAGCCGAAGGGGAGAGAGAGACAACCAAGAGAATTCAAGAGCCCAAGCCTTCTCTCCCTCCCCTAGGCTGGGGACTGGAGATCCTCTTGGCTGAAAGGCGACAAGAAGAGGCCTGCTGTCTGGGGTGTGGAGGACAGAAGGCTGTGCCACTGGGGGATCCAGTGACCCTCACCATTTCATGTGGCGAAGACGTGTGTTTCCCGAGCAGGAGTGCAGTAGGAAGCTCCAGACAGCTCGAAGACTGGGGCCCTGGAAATAAGATGGGATGGGTAGACAGTCTGGAGTGGGTCCTGGGAGGAGGAGATGGAAAACGTCACAAGTAGGAGATGAGGCCAAGCTAAGGTACAGGGGGCAGGGCCACCTAGGGCTCTCTGAAACACCAACAGGACATCCTCCACGAAATAACCAACAGTGTTTTGGAAACTCGACACCCAGCAGAACCAAGAGCTACTGGCTACTTAGTGTTAGAGAGCAAACAGCAGCCAACAGAAAGAATGAACTTAACCTCTGGACAGCCAGGGAGAAGATGTTCCGCCCCTACCTCCCAGGGCCCTAGCATCGGTTTGGTATGTACCATCTACCCTGTTCTAAGCCACTAGCATCCAGTCTGGCCCCTAGAGCTGGGGGGAAGAACTAGGAGGTGGGCAAGGAGGGCTTTGGAATGATCGTGAAACTGGCTATTTTAAAATAAGCATCATGGAGTCTGAGAAAAGAAACCAGACTGACAGAATAACCCAAAGGGACCAACATCATGGAATTCAACTCTGATGTCATGAAGAGAATCCAAAGTCAAGTGGAAGGGGAAAGGAGTCAACCCAAGTAATGGCAGTAACTGGAAACAAATGGATTTTTGTGTTTCTATTTCAGTGAGTTAATAATATCCTTCTCTAAATCAGCTACATGGAATTCTTAAAAACACAAAATTGATCTTTAAGGGAAATAATTAAACATCACCTATAATTTGGTACCTGCTGTGTATATACCCACAATTCATAGCTGTCACATTTTTAAACAATGTTCATTGAAACCATAGGTTCTGTGTGTTATTTCCAACCTCTGTGCTCCTGCTCACATTGTTCTCTCCACCTTGAATATCACACCTCATGCTCCAACTCCCATCTCTCAGTGTTAAAATCTTGTTACTAGAGAAACAAAACCATCTTTTCTCTCTCCCTTCAGAGTCTGGGGGAGAGAATGCCCTTGGCTAAGAATTTAATCTCGCTCTTTCAAGAAGTAATTACAAAGCCCCTGTCTGGTCTTTGTGTAGTCAGGAGAGCTGTTCTTAAGAGGGATAAAGCTGGAAAATGGGCCCATTTCTTATTTCCAGCAGGCTCTAGGGGTCTGAGTTTGAAAGCGTGGAGACATCTACACTGTTCAAAAGTAATGATATAAGGTATTAATTACATGTGGAGAGCAGGCTTTGAAAACATTTGAAAACATTGCATTTGGGGATGCAAGGTAAATACTTCTCTCCACTCTCTGGGTTTAGGCTGTAATATCTCTGATAATTAATATTTATCCTTGGGAAATGTGGATGTGCAGTGGTGGGGGCAGAATTGGAAAGAAATCCCACAGCTTTCCAGTGAGCGATCAATAGAGCAAGGAGGATGGTGGGCAACTCACCCCATACAGAAGACCCTGGGGGCTAGAAGAGGAGTGTCGAAATCAAACCTGGATGCTCTGTGTGACGGGAGATGCTAAAGGCCACTACGAGTCTCCTGGAGATAGTGTCTTAAGAGGAACTGCTCAGAGCTGGGCAAGCATTGTATTGGCAGGGAGGGAGTCTGTTCCTGGGTTGAGATCCATCTCTGTAAGAAGACATCTGTGGACACTCTTAGAAGGGAGAGCAGAAGAGGATTCCCAGTGAGGAGTGGACCCCAAACAGGAGAGCATGGCTAGGAGCTGAGGGAGCCCACGAGGGCGTTCCCTGTGTGGGTTTACCTTGGTGGCTGTCTTCCCCTTGTACCACGGTGGAAGTCGTAGCACAGTGGTAAAGAATCTTCCTGCCAATGCCGGAGACACAGGAGGCACAGATTCCATCCCTGGGTCGGGAAGAGCCCCTGGAGGAGGGAATGGCAACTCACGCCAGTATTCTTGCCTGGAGAATCCCATGGACAGAGGAGCCTGGCGGGCTACAGCCCATGGAGTTGCAAAGAGTCGGACACGACTGAGCACACACGCACACACCTCTATTATCTAAATGTTCTTTGGTTACTGCGACCCTACGTAACAGTTAATATATATATATATATGCACACACACATATATATGAAAGCATTATATATACAGGTAGATATGCTTCTATATGTAAGATAGTGGATTTGTGAAGAACAAAGAAATGACTAATGAAGGGAAGCAGGGCCTGCCCGATGCCCCCTTCCAGGGAGACTCATTCTCGATGGAAAATGCTTTCCAGCAGAATGTTCCCAGAACAGCAGTGGGGCTGGGATCCGTGGGCCGGAGAGCAGGCTGGGGAGGCTGGGGTGGGGGGGCTTGCAGCCCAGCGCTCCCCTCTTCCCTGCCTGTGAGAGAAGGTGACCTTTCAGAGTGGGAAGAGGCTGACGTGCTGGTTACTCTATTCACTCCCCAAGGCTGTCTTTCAAATGCCGCATCCTTTCCTGAGCCCTCCCCGAGCTCATCCAGGCTAGAAGGAAGCCCTCACACCTCTGAAAGCTGAGAGCCCTGCATGCAGGCCTCCCTTACGGATCTTACCAGTATCCGCTTTCAGTAAGAGTCCTTTACCAAGTCTTTGGCCAGATTCATCTGTTCACCTTCATGTTCTCTGGTACCCACCCCACCCCTCACGCTTCTCCATCCTGCTTCCTGTGGGATGCTGAGCTGTATGCCCCACAGACAGATACCCACCCCTGCCCTCTGGCTTCTGTTTTCCCACGTGGTGCCCTTACAGTAGGTATGAGGGAGGTTGGGATAACTACTCCCCGAGTTCCTACCCTTGGGGGTCACCTCGAGGTTAATTCTCTCAACTGCAGGTCGCTCCTAGCAAGGGGGCTGCACTGGAAGACTCCATCCCCTTCCAGGCTCCAGCATCCACCACTTACCTTAGCTCTGGGGTCCCAGGGAGATGAAAACCTGGGCTGCTACTAGCCAAGGCCACCACACTCTCCCTCATGCTCCCCACCACCAATATTCAGGCCTTTGTGACTAGTTCTTTAGCTTATCTTAATCTGTGCACCAACTGTTTCCAGTCAAGACCTGTCCGATGCTGCTCTTACTAAATAATCTGAGAGCATACCTACAGAGGTTTGCATTATGCTTATTTCTGAGCCAAGGCTAAAATAGATTCTTGACTATTCTAGATGCCCAGTAAGCATTTGTTCAATACTCGATCTCTCTGCTTCTAGAACTGAGTTTCTCAACCTCGGCACTATTGACACTCGGGGACAAATAACTCTTGGAGGAGGGGCTGTCCTGTGCACTGTAGGATGTTCTGCAACATCCCTGGCCTCTGTGACTAGATGCCAGGAGCACCCCAACCCCAGTTGAGGCAACCAAAAATGTGTGTAGACATTGCTAAATGCACCCCCTCCCACCGGGGAGCAAAATCGCTCCCAGATGAGATTCACTGCCCTAGATGTTAGGGCCTCCTGTCATCTCAGCATTCATGTTACACAAGCCAGTATCATCACTTCATAGCAACAGTTCATAATATACGCATAAGTGTGTACACCCACTAGCTTTCCTGGTGGTTCAGATGGTAAAGAATCTGCCTGCAATGCGGGAGACCCAGGGTCAATCCCTGGGTCAGGAAGATGCCCTGGAGAAAGAAATAGCTACTCACTCCAGTATTCTTGCCTGCAAAACTCCATGAACAGAGGGACCTTGTGGGTCTCAAAGAGTCAGACATGACTGAGCAACTAACACACACACGCACACACACACAGAGCGTGCATGAATGCACACATCCAGGCCCACTTCAAAGTCACATCGTCTGACATAAAATATATGTGCACATATGAAAACATACTTGAAAGGATTTCTCAAAGTTAGGATATCAAAGACATTTTTTTCTTATTGTTAAAAACACAATCTTTATTATCAAGTGGGAAAAAAATCACCCAGGGCGTGGAGATAACATTAAATGAGATTTCTTTGACCTTTACAGAGATTCATGAGCTTAGATCTTGAAAAGATCATAGGCGTAAGCCTAAATGCAGGGTGCTAAACGGTATATGAAACAGAAAATGATCAGAAGGAACAAGGCCTTCTAGGTGCAATAGTGAGAACACAGGGGTCTAATGACCACACTCACCCCTCCCCCACACCTAGATGTTCATTGAAAGGACCACGGCTTGCAAAGGCAGAGACTGAAATTATGAAGCCTTGTTTTGCTAATTGCAAAAGAAGTGTGTTTAGGGGCATCAAAAAAAAATTTTTTTTTAATGGAAGCATAATTGCTTTACAATGTTGTGTTTGTTTCTGATGTACTATGAAGTGAATGAACTATTTTGTTTGGTCACTAAGTCATGCCCAAACTCTTTGAGACCCCATGGACAGTAGCCCGTCAGGTTCCACTGTCTTTGGGACTTCCCAGGCAAGGATACTGGAGTGGGTTGCCCTTTCCTCCTCCAGGGGATCTTCCCAACCCAGGGATCTAACCCACATCACTGAATTCTAGTGACGAGCCTACAACAGCAATCTTATCCCCATTTTACAGCCTAAGAAACAGAGGTGCAGAGAGGTTACTGAATACCAAGACACTTATGGGTTGCCCTTTCCTCCTCCAGGGGATCTTCCCAACCCAGGGATCTAACCCACATCACTGAATTCTAGTGACGAGCCTACAACAGCAATCTTATTCCCATTTTACAGCCTAAGAAACAGAGGTGCAGAGAGGTTACTGAATACCAAGACACTTGGGGAGTGAGTTATAGAGCTGGAAAGCAATCTAACAGTGTCTCGTTAAACTAAGTTACATCAAAGAGATGGGTATTGAAAGGACCGAGAGCAAAGGATGCTGAGAACAGTGGTTCGGAGAAGAGCGTCGTGAGATTCAAGCTCCATCCCTAGGAGAACCGCTCACTTCCTGTTAGCGATTCAGCAATTGGGCCACTGGATAACAGGCCGCTGTATCACAGACCTTTATTCCACACCCTGCGGCTCATGCTGCCAGCCTGTTCTCTATCCACACACTCCTTGGGCTGCCCTTTGGTGACCTCTGACCCCTTCAAGGTCACCAGGGATGTTCCATGATGGCTCAGGGTTAACTTCACTCTTTGAATCTCTGCCTTCCTCTTTGTTTTGATCATTTTGGAAATTTGTATGCTGTGGAACTAGGATGCAAAGTTGTTCGACAGTTAAACCCTTATGATAAAACTGTATGACAGCTTGTAGATCATGCCTTTCTATTCTGATCCTTCAATGTCTGGGGCCTTGCTGGCAATGAAGATTGCCCCTCCCAGGGCTGGCCGATTCCTAGAGACAGCAAACATCTCCAGTGAGTGCATCTTTCATATGCAAACTAACTAATGTGACAAATGTGTGTGCATGTAGGCTCATTAGACTCTCGTTACTCTATGGACTAGAGCATACCAGGCTCTTCCATTGATGAGATTTTTTAGGCAAGAATACTAGAGTGGGTTGCCATTCCCTTCTCCAGGGGAACTTCCTGATCCAGGGATTGAACCAGGG